CCGGGCTCCAGCGGCACTGGGGAAGCGCCGGCCGGGGGCGCAGGGTCTGGAGGCTGCCCGGCAAACCGTGAAGCCGGTAGCGCTTGGGCAGCCCTTTTCGCGTGACTGGGAGGGAGGAGGGGGGGTTAGGGTGGGGACTTTGGGGGAAGGGGCGGAGTTGGGGCGGGGCCAGGGTGGGGAAAGGGGCGGGGCCAGGGCCCCGTGGAGTATCCTCTTTTTTTATTTTTTAAATATGGTAACCCTAATTAAGCACCCCAAAACTGAAGCATCTATAATGAAAGGCCACTGTGTAAAGTTGGTCCTCACTGATTTATCTTCACACAGCCCGCCTGGGAGGGAGGTAGAGCATGGCTAATACCATTTTATAGAAGGGTGAAACTGATGCAGAGAGGTGAAGTCATCTGCCCAAAGCCATACAGAAAATCAGCAATAGAGCTGGGAATGGAACTCAAGGAGGAGCTACGGACTGCAAACACATCCCTTCAGACCCATCATAAAAAAAGGAGTTCAAAAACCCAACAGCTGTCCTGTGTTTTTCCCACAAGTAAGTGAAGCCTCATTGAAAACACAATGGGGTGGTTGGATGGATGCTATCACTCACAATAGTGGTGACTCCTCCTGGCAAAAACTTGATCAGAAAAGGCCTCTTGTTCTAATGAGTGCCACTAAACAAGCCACTCAGGTCTCCAGCTGATTTGGAGAGCCTCTGGAACACTAACAATTCCTAGACACACTTGCCTCTCCTTGCCTACTACAAAAATGGCAGCACTATCACAACCTGGAAAGGAAGATTTCCAGAGGATCAGCATTAATCAGGAAGGCAATGACAAGACAGTGGTGACTTGTCAAGGACAATGCGATGGTAGCAAATCCCTGTCCTCCTTGGTTTCCATTTCCAAGGAGTCAGCTCCCCCGTGCTCCCAATGTGACTCACAGCTAATGGCGCAGTATGCTGCAACAAAAACAAACAAAAAAATCTGCAGCAAACAGCAAGATCAATGTCTTTGGTAGCCACCTGGGCTTCTATCACAGCTATTGCTGCTGACATATCACGTCTATTTGAAAAAATACATTAAACCAAATGCAAGATGCAGTCGGAAAGTCAGAGTTGCATAACAGTTTGTTTTCCACAGGCTTGGAAGGCTGCTCAAAATGTTTATTATTCACATGATAATTAAGACATTATTGATCTTTTTTCCTTTTTATTGTCAGTCAAGTTAACTCTATCAACCAACATTTCTATGGTCATTTCTCTAAACACAACAACACCTGCAAATAAGGGCAGAGGTGCTGACTTGATCCAACGAGCCACACACACAGCTTCAACAGATGCTTCTACAACCAAAGCCATATCTCCCTTAGGAAGAGGCTACATTTAGTCAAGATCTGGATGCTTTCCTCAATGCAAAGCCTAACCCAATAGCACTAGAACCAACGAGGAGAGAGATGCAGAGGTGAGATTTTAAATGACAAAGAGTCAGAAAAATAAAGAGACAGAGGATGAGAGTGCAACAGAGTTGGGACTAGATGAGCAAAATTGAGATCTTTTGAAATGGTAACAAGAAAGAATCAGAGAAAACGGGAAGGTACAGAGTCAGAAGGGAATTAAAAATGGCAGTACCTGTTTGTACAATATAGCTGCTGCAAATCAGGTAGCTATCGTATAATCCATGGACATGTGACTTAGTGAGTAGGATGTTACAGTTAAGCTATGTGCAGAGTCCAGGCACTCCATGTGCAGCCGCACGCTGCAGGGAAAGGCCGGGGTGAGAGCTGCCAGCACCTTCCCAGGCCATGGCTTTTACTTCAGCAGTGGGGAGGCGCTGAGCCATTCCACGGCTAACAACAGCAGCAGACATGGGAGACACCGTGTGGGCAGCCCAGGAAGGGTCTATACCCTGAGGGTTCAGGAATGCTGGGCACTATTCTTCTCTACTCATTCAAGAGATGCCTCACCGCCTCCACTGCATTGTCTGCCCTAAACATTTCCTGCACAGTGACCAAGGACTGTCCAACGTTGTCAAAAGCACCTAAGTGCCATTTTCAGAACTGACTTAAGCACTTAGAAGCCTAAGTCTCACTGACTTCCAATGAGAATTAAGTCCCAGATGCACCCGGATATTTAGTGAAATCACTGAAAGTCAGGAGCCTAACCACCTTTGAGGATCTGGGGCTAGATTGCTTTTGAAAATGGGACTCAGGTGCTCTTGTATATTTCCCCTTGGTGGTCAGAGCCATCCTATTCTAGACTCTGCCGCTGGCCTGCTGTGTGCCCTGGGTAAAGCTAAACTGCCGCACTCACACTGCGCGCGGCACACGCCGCTGAGCCAATGACTGCGCAGCACCTGCTCTCAGTGACAGCAGTGTCACTCTGGAGTGGCTCTATGGCAGTGGTCACCAATCGGTCCATCGCGATTGACTGGTCGATCCTAGAGGATCTCCCAGTTGATTGCAATCTCCAGCGGCACAACAGGGCTGCCACTAAGAGACTCCCTGCTGCTCCCAGAAGTGGCCAGTGCTGCCCTGCAGCCCCAGGGGCGGGGGGGCAGGGGTCTCCCTCGGTGCGCTGGTCGTGCCTACAAGCACTGCCTCTGCGGCTCCCATTGGCCGGGAATGGGGAGCTGTGGTCAGTGGGAGCTGTGGGGGCGGTGCTTGCAGACAGGGGAAGCATGCGGGGCCACGTGCTGCCTGCCCCCTCCCCCGCCAGGGGCTGCAGGGGCACGTTAATCCCTTCTGGGAGCGGCGTGGGGCCAGGATAGGCAGGCTCCCTGTGCCGCCGACTGGGAGCTGCTGGAGGTAACTGCTGCCCGGCAGGAGGACGCACCCCAGCCCTGAGCCCCCTCCCAGGGCCAGCACCCCGTGCCCCCTCCTGCACCCTAACCCCCGTCCCAGCCCTGAGCCCCCTCCTGGAGCCAGCACCCTGAAACCCATCCTGCACCCCAACACTCTGCCCCAGCCTAGAGCCCCCTTCTGTACCCAAACTGTCTCCCTCCCTCACCTCCTTCTGCACCCCAACCCCCTGCCCAGGCTCAGGCCAGAGCCCCCTCCCACACTGTGAACCCCTCGGCCCCAGCCCAGAGCCCACACACCCTCCTCCAGCCTGGTTAAAATGAGTGAGGGTGGGGGAGAGAGCGAATGACTGGGCGGGGGGGATGGAGTGAGTGGGACGGGCCTCGGGGAAGGGGCGGGGTAGATCCTGGGTTGCCCTTAAATTCAAAAAGTGATCTTGGACGTTAAAAGGTTGGGGACAACTGCTCTATGGTCATAAATGGCATTATTCCAGACAAACAATGGAGTAACTGAGAATAGAATTTGATTCATTTAGTTTCATATATTTTATTAGAAAGAAGATGTTGGATTTATTCTAGGGCTTACTCAAAAGAGAATGCTGTTTCACTGCTCAGCAAAAAGAACACATATTGCTGGCATCAGACAGTGAAAACATTCAGAGAATTAGGGCTCCAATTAATTGAAGTGCCTGTTTTTCACATAGCTACACTAGATATAAACAAAAAGGCAAGGATTGTTTTGAAAAGTACCGATCTTTAAAATCAAAAAGCCTAGTCCAACGTGCCAATTTGTGGAAGGGTTCATGAATGAAACCTTAGGGCAAATTCAGACATGGGGTGAGTCAAAGTTGTATGGATGGAATTGCATTGAGTTAACCCTCCATGCTTCTGTCTGGCCTGAATTGGGGCCTGTATCCCTAAAAGGCCTCTTGGTCTTAGAGTCAATGTGTGACCTGCATTGGCCAATGTATGATTTATTAATCTTGAAACACCACATATGCAAGAACAACAAGGAGTCTGGTGGCACCTTAAAGACTAACAGATTTATTTGGGCATAAGCTTTCGTGAGTAAAAACCTCACTTCTTCGGATGCAT